CCCCTCTGCTGCCACAGGGCTGGCGCACATGCTGTACTCCTTCTGCCGAGAACATTTTGTTTCCCAGTTACCTAGTTAATAGGCAACATCACTTCTGCATCACTTTCCTGACCAAAAATTTTTTTCCTGGTACTGCAGATTTAATTCAGAGGTGTTCTACTACTGAGCTACATGCCCATCTCTTTTTATTATGTCCAGGATGGACTCAGACTTTGCAATCCTCCTGCCTGAACCTCCCGAGTAGCTGGGATTACAGCCCCCATCACTCAACCGACCATGTGCCCCTCCTGGAAAGCACCAGTCACAGCTGAACTTACACACACACACACACACACACACACACACAGAGTGTGATTTGACTGAGGCTCTTTTCTTAGTAGGTGCTAAATTGTTGGAAGGCTGAATTGTGTTTATCTTTTTCATCAATACCTAGAACACTTCCTGACTTTCTGGCATGATAAATGCATGGTAAATGTTTGTTAAATGAGCAAAAAAGTATGAACGAGAGCAACAGGAAATTATTACCCAATTAATTATATGATAATTATATGACAAAACATGGGCAGCAAGGCTGCACGGAGAAGGGGATGGATCAAGGCCACTTCTTTTGCGTCCAGTACCACTAACTCCCCACCTGTCTAACACACTAGAAATTTCAATCCCTTTACTTTTTACAAATAGGGTTCTTTCACCGCTATGACTTAATTTCACTCTATCTACCTGTCTATCTGTCTATCTCTACCTATTTATCTGTCTTAAATACTGTTTATTTCTCCAGTTATAAAAATAAATATAAAGACTTATCTATAAAAAATGAGTTGCCGATGTTGATCTGGATTTTTTCTCTACCTTTTTGCTTCCTCTTTCTATGCTAACAATGCCGCCGACAGCAGAAGCGTGTCTAAGAGGAAATGCTTTGCCCCCACTAGAGGAGCGGGAGGGTCAGGACTTGCCCTCAACCCTCCTAGTGGGCTCTCAGCACTTCCATGTCCTTGAGGTCCCCCCCAGTGTGCCACTTCTGGGAAGAACGCAAACACGCACTTGTTGAAAGAATACTCTACACTTAGCAACACCGCCGCTGTCACGAGGCCTGGGAAAGAAGGCGCCGTACCTATTATACAAAGTCCACAGAGCACCGCGAGGTCTGTTTGCTTTCTCTTAAGTAAGACAACCTATATTTTGTTTGGAGCCATAACTGGTAAGCAAGCTGCACTAATTCACAAAAAGATAAAGGTACATATTTGAAGGGCTCTACAAGGAGAGATATTTGAACAGTCTTATTAAGTATGTCCTTATTGCTATGCAACTCACTGCTGTTTAGTAAACAAAGAAGAGACTATGAGAGATAAATAAGGATTGTTTAGGCTAAAGGCAAACACAAACATCACGGATCGAGAGTTAGAAAATATAGATTATAAATAGAACTCAAGTTTCATGACAAATACACACATGTACATCTATCACTCAGTATTAACACCTGCACACAGAGAAATGGTGTCTTATACGCTTACCCCTGTGTAAGTTTGCCAGAGGAAAGAAAGGCTAGAGACCAAGAACATACCATAAATAGCTCAATTCTAAAATATAGTTCAAAATCTAATTCCTACTCTAACTCAAACTTTTAAAAACAGTTTTAAAAAGGAAACAACAAGAACCCTAAAACTTACTAGTGCAGTCACGGGACTGAGCCCTGTACTCCAGGACTGTGTGCTTACTTTATGAACTGCTCACTACTCACTCGGGTAGTTGTTTGCTTACCCGGCCTCTCGCTGGGGAAGAGAACTTGGGCTGGGGGTGTGGCTCGGTTGGTACAGCATGAGCCTAACAAGAAGCGTTACTATGGAACGTTTTCCCCCAAGACATGAAAACTAACAGAAAAAAGTCTTTAAAAGAAAAAGGATAAAAAGTTGTGAACCAGGTCTTCAGAATATCAAATTACAAAACAGCACCATCACTGTTTATGCTTAAAAAAAAATCAATATACAATATTAAAAAAATAGAAAAGGTATATTTTATTAAAATTTAAGGACTAAGTTAATTATCAGACATCTGTGCAGAGCTGTTAAGGTATAAATTCAGTTGCACTTTAAAAAAAGAACAAAAAAAAATCCAGATTTGAAGTATTTTACACTGCCAACAAGGCAAACTGGGATGACAGTTCTCAGGCCTAATAGCTTGTTTTTCCTTTCATTTTTTTGAAGCTATTAAAAATAAAAGTGGGGGCTGGGGATTTAGCTCAGAAGGCAAAGCGCCTGCCTGGCAAGCGCAAGGTCGTGAGTTCGGTTCCCGGTACCGGAGAAAAACAAAAAAAAACCAAAAACAAACAAATAAAAATAAAAGTGAATCTGGGCATGGTGGCGTACACCTGTAATTCCAGCACTCAGGAGGCTGAGACAGGAGGATTGTTGCGAGTTTCGAGACCAGCCTGGCTACAAAGTGAGCTCAAGGCCAGCCTGAACTGCATAGCGAGACCCTGTCTCAAAAAGGCAAAGAAATAAATAAATGAATAAGTAAATATAAAACTAATAAACAAATTACACAAAGTCGCATGGTACAAGGTCAACACTCAAAAAATCAGTTGTGTTTCTAAAATAACAATGAACAATCCACAGCAAATACGAAGAATACAATTCCTCTGACAAAGTCGTGATTAATACAACGTTCAAAGACAGGCTACTTGAGTTCAAGTCCCAACTTCCACCACCAACTGTTTGATTTTGTGTAAATGACCTAATAACTCTGTTTCAGTTGGCTTATTTGTAAAATTGAGAAGTCACCACTTACTCCACAGAACCGTCAAGAAAATAAATGTGTTAATGCACATCAACTGCCTAGAATAGTCACATGATACATGCAGTCTAGATGTGTTTACTATACTGAAGACATTACAGAATGATCAAGTACAGAGAGCAGTAATTAGAAAGTCCCATTGTTCATCCATGGTTTTGGAGCTGGCTTTGTATGTCAGAGGACTTGTTTTGCTTTTGTTATTTAGCTGTAAATTCTCTACAGTGTACACTAAAATTCTCTACAGAATACACTAAAAACAAGCAATTTTCTATTTTTATTTTACAGTCACAAAGAGCAACGGTGATAACGATATTATTCTCAAAGCCATGACTTTCAAACCTTTATCTCAGAGCCCTGACCTTGTTCATCCAAACTCCAAACACACATCATCAACTTCCTACCAACCGTTTCCTCCTGAGTATTTTGTCATCTCAAATTAAACAGTGGGTCAAACAGAAAAAATTCCTATCCTCCACCCTCCCTCCCTGCAAGCCAAACCAGCCTATTTGGACTTTCCACTCCGTGCCGTGCTGTCTGTTCTACTGCTGTCACTAGGCCCCTCTAGTTAGGCTCTTAGTCATTTTATTTGGTTGTAAGAGATTCCTCACGGGTTTGTGTGCTCCCATTTTCTTTCTTGCTTGAAACAGTGGTGACGGGTCCTCCTCAGTCTTTTTTCTCCCTATCACTCTCACCTTTAAAGGAATTCTTCAGTGCTTACAAGACGCAGGTGGAAGTGAGATGGCCTGGGCGGCGGCCAGGGTGCCTCCTCCTCCTCTGCCTGTTCTTGTGTGGGACACGCGGCAAGTCCCCGTGGTCAAGGCCCGGTGCAGTCTGGCTCCCAGTGACCTTCTGCTTCTACCCTCCACTCACGCACGTGAATGTTCACATTCCTGTTAGTCTATTTCCCTATCAAACATGCATTTCTCTAACGTACCTCTTTCAGCACTGCATGGTACAGTGATCATAGGGCAGACTGTCAAGAGTATTTTCGTATTTAAAACATATAATGCCTGTATCTAGTGCTCTATGCGTACCCACCAAAACACAGAACACTGTGGCTGATACACACACGCACGGCTAAGCTGAGGGACACGGTACGGCAGCTAACGGATGGCAAAGGGTGTGTGTTGTGCTCTTGGTGGAACGATGCTGGGCCAGGTATCTGAGAACTAGTAAGGTTTCCTTTATGCCATTATCACGTCTGCTGGTGAGTAATTTTCACTTGCGGTAGCTAAAAACTACTATAAACTATACACTACTGCAGTAGCTACCAACTACTGCTAAGGGGAGAGTTGGGAGATCCCAAAGAAATGTATTAATTTGCAAAGGTAATGTTAAGGAAAATGGTATCAACAAATGGTCGTTTACTATAGCCCTGGGATGTCGCAGCGGAGGGTATAAACCTGGCGCATTACTGTCTCCTGGGAGGACTGAGAAACCGCCCAAGGCTACCTGAAGAAAGTGCGGCTGAAGGCCTCCGAGACTTCAGAAGCTGTGGGCAGCACAGAGAGGGGCCCTGCGCTGCGCAGTGGTGAGGGCCGTGCTCCCAGGATGTGCTGTATGTTCCGTACCCTTTGCTTATGCTCACTGCCGGTGCTGCCTCTTCCAGGCCCGCAGCCTCCACACAAAGCCAAACACACATGTAGAGGAGGGTGTGTCACACGCGGAACCATCTTTTATAAACCAAACTCAGAGCCTGACAGACAGACCCCTCCGTAGGTAAAAGCCACGGCAAGCCCACCTCAGCCCTCGCTATTCCGGTCCCATTAAGTGCAGTCACATTATGTGAAAATAATGTGGCAAGCCGATTTCTTGCTCTGTCCTTTTAGGTTGTGCCAACTGAAGCCTTACCTTGGATCTTTTAATCATTCTTCATTTATCAGTTACTGAGAAGAAAGCTGTAGTTTTCTCCCTTCAAAATATTCAGCGCAGAATTTACCATTATTTAACTATTTAAAACACTTGCTATCAATACAAACATCAATCTGAAGATCAATGGTTTGCCAGTTGTTACATACAGTAAGACGGAGACTGTACAGTTGATGACTTTTATGACAGAAAGCCAAATGTATTTTGTGTTCTTCTAAAAACTCTAACATGAGATTTCTCTCTTGTAATTGTCGTAAAAGTCAGTTAACAGAAACAGAACACTCTCAACTCTTTTGGACGACTACCACAGAGAGATGTCAGAGGGTAAAGAGTAAGCTTGCCTTATTTTCTTCCAGAAATTTCAATTTGATGGAAACATCATTGCGCATTTTATCATATTTTTCCTTATGTGCTTGGAACAGATGTTGGGACTGCTCAATTTTTGGCAAAGTGTTTGCGTCACGTGGTCCAAGATTCAACTCTTCCAAATCAGTGCGATATGCATCATATTCAATCCTGGAAAGAGAGAATAAATGATGCATGCAACAAAAACAGAGTGACTTATGTTCAGAAGATGGGCTGGAAAACGTAATGTTCATTCTCATGTTACACAATGATATACAAACTTCCTATTCCATACCTTACGCTCTGGAAAGCACTATTTCTTTAAAAACAAAAAGTTGTTAATAGAGGAATGTGGGTTGGGGGTAGGATCCGGGGTACAGCTCAAGTAGTAAAGTACTTGTCTAGCATGTGATACTGGGTATGATCCCCAGAATCACAAAGGAAAGGCAATTGAAAACATAATTAAAAACACAGGGGAGGTGGTGAAAGCTGCTTTTTAATACTATTAACTATTTCTCCCAATATTGGTCGGCACTAACTGACAAATAAAATTTCCAAAATTTAAAAATCAGCTTATAAAACAGATATTAAAACCAAGCATGCCAAAGCGACACTGTCTATAGCAGAGATTCACCCCCTTTGTGAACTGGGCGTCTCCAGTGGGGCAAGGGAGGCGAGGACAGACTTCAGCACTGAAAGGTGAACACAAGTCACACTGCAGATCAGCAGTCCTTCAGTGACAGTCTAAGCTGGCCATGCACGATAGGAGACAAGATGATCTGTTCACGCGATTTAAATTCTTTTTTTTTTTCAGTGAATTAAAAAGCCAGCCTAAAGTACGTAGTGAGACCTTGTCTTAAACACCCCAAAAGAAAAAAAATAGAAAATTTACAGCAGAAATCAAACTATTTTAGAAGACTGAAAATCTAAATTTTAAGTTAAAATCTAAACCTCACATCTACTCGTTTGAATCTACACAAAAAGGAACACTGGTGGCACCCTGGGCTGCAGGTCACAGGGGAGTCTAAGTGAGGGCAGACAGGTGCATGTGCTTGGGAGGGTGGTGACTTCTCCAGGGCTGGGTGAGGTGGCCGGGTGCTCAGGGCTCTGAGGAACCCAGGCAGCAACTCCAGGCCCCAGGATCCGGGATGGCTCCTCAGAGGCTTTTATTGACTCCTGACCCTGTCTTCCTGCTCAGATAGTGCTTTCTAATCCGAAGTTGATTCTGAGCTCCACCCAGGTAATCCTGACTGCTTCTCAGCTTTCACCTGATGAATACGGAGAGAGAATAAAAAGTCCCTTTTTGAAAGTTAAGAGCTAAGAAGGGTTTGGAAGCCCAGGACTCATGCACTGATGGACTCCACACCATTGCTGAGTATTACTCACATGTGACCGTCATAGCTGTGTGTTTGAGACGGGGCAGGGTGTTATCTGCTCCTGACACTGGCAGAAAATTCCCCAACCTGAAAACCTTGGTTAGGGGGACTTTGGGCAAATAAAAATTATCACAGTATTCCAGAGTTAGACCAAGTGTGTGAAGTCAGAAATGTCATCCTCGGGGAAAAGAGCAGCAGTCTCCAGGTGTCAGTGGAGCCTTGGGTGCTGTGCTTCCTGACAGCAGATCATGTGACCACGCAAGGAAGAGAGGACCTCCTACGACTTAGTTAAAGGCCAGGCTGCGTGGAACCTGCCTGTAAGCCCAGCACGGGGGAAGCTGGATCAGAAGAATCACCATGGGTTTGAGACCAGCCTGGTCCACATAAGAGTTGAAGACCAGCTGGAAGTACATTCTGAGTTGAAATCAAGCTGGGCAACATAATAAGACCTTGGGTCAAAAAAATAATAACCACAAAACCCCAAGCATAGCTATCTGGAGAGACATAAGTCACAGAATCATAAGCGCCATCTGAAACCTCTGTTCCTACAGGACACTAGCTGAAGGCAGGTGGGGCGTGCCCTCATGGATGCCAAGGACGCACCAGGCACAGATTCAAGTGAGGGTGACGGGGCTCCAGGAATCCCAGCAGGACCCACGGTGACCCGCAGCTCCACGACTGAGCATGCGATTTAAATTCTTTTAGAAATTACCTTAAAACAGTAACTGTGCCTGCTTTTAAACAATGTACACATATTGTTCTTATGAGTCTTTTGATATCAAAGAATATATGACAAGTATGTAAATTGTAAATTACACTTGTAAAAACCATCAAGAATCCAACTATCCTGAAAATAAAATTTAATACATTTAAAGACCCCCTTCATTTTCTTCTCCAAGCTCCATTCTTTTTGTACACATAAATACTATTCTGAATTAGTGTTATCATTTCTTAATTTCTTCATATAATTATGGCTATCCATATGTAAATACTGTTTAGCTTTTATTTTCAAACTTTATACAAATGGTATCAGACTGAATATATTCTTGCTTGATTTGCTTTTTCCATTCAACATTATCTTTCTTAGATTCATCCATATTAACAGATATACAGACAGTCTAATAAGTAAAATGTAAAAATAATTTTGAAACACGTCTAAAGGGATGTATATTTATATACACATGTTATATATGTATGTTAATATATTTTTACTCAAAATGTTGAAACTATCATTGGAACATGTAATCAATGTAAAACAAATTGGTAATGAGCTACTTTACATTTTGAGCCTTGGAAATCCACTGCATAGCTCACACTTCCACACAGTGCACTTCAGATTGGCCATATTCCAAGTACCCGACATATTCCAAGTACATGTGACTGCTGAGCATCGCAGCTCTAGACGGACTGCTAGAATACCAGCATGCAGAATGTGACAGTGCAGCACTTAACACTTCCGTGTGAAAGGTACCGTCGGAGCATTCTCCCCCCACCAACTGCGAGTCACCCCACCCATCATTCCTGATCCCACGGCATCTCATAACACCGCTAGTCATGGACCCGTGTAAGTACAGCAACTTGTTCAGCAGCTTTGACAACTTGGTACTCAGCAAAGCAGCAAAGTGATCTCTACTTTAATAAAAATATGAACACAAAGCTTATGCCCCCAAATTAAAGTTCTTTATTCAGACATCTACGGTATGATGTGCATCCCCTTCTGGGAATGAGAAATTCTTTATATAACATAAGCTGTACTGTATACATAATTTGGGAAAGACTACAACAGTGTGTGACACTCAGTCTAAAGTATTCTTTTTTCTTTATTTTTTTAAAAAAAATTTAAGACAAGGTCTCACTGTGTAGTTGAGGCTGGCCTTCAACTCACTATGTAGCCCAGGCTGGCCTCTAATTCGCAGCAATTCTCCTGCCTCATCCTCCTGAGTGCTAAGCTTACAGGTGTGTGCCACCATGGCCAGCTATAGCCTAAAGTATTCTTAACACCTGATGAATTTAACAAGCTTGATCCTTTAGGGCCAAAGTAGCATTATTCACTCATTTACTGATATACTGATTGATTCAACAATTACTAAGTGGTCACTTTTTATGTCATTGTGCTTGAAAGCAAAGCTACAAAGATGAACAGCTATGTTTACCCTCATGAAGTCTGTGGTCCTAAAACAAGCTTGTAAGGATTACTACAAAAATGACATATTGGAAACTACCATGAAGAGGGGAAAGAAATAATGAAAAGCAAGAAGAATTAACTAATGAGGGATGCAAAGGCATCTCAGGGCAGAATTAAAACACGGTAATTAGAATGTGAAGGCTGATAAAAGGTTAATGAATTGAGTGGGGCAGGGAAATTGGTAGACGACTCCAGGAAGAAAATAGCATGTGCAAAGGTGTACGGTACCTCATCACACTTGGAGATTGGTTCACTATGTTACAACCTGAAGTGCAATATAATAATCAGAAGAATTCAAGCTGGACAGGTAGGCAAGACTGAAGTTAAGTAGCCCAAAGGGCAATGTGGTTCAAGTCTAACCCAGAAGGACAGGGGAAGCGAAGTCACTGAGAAACTCTGATCGGACATGACAGCAACATGGTCCAAATGGCGCAGGACAGAAAGGTGCTCTGGTGGCAGAGCACAGAGTGGACGGCGGCTGGGAGCAGAAGATGAGAAGCCAGAAGAAGACAGTGCCCGATGAGAAAGACCATGGACACGGGAGAAACGAGTCCACGAAGCAGCACAAAGCAGAGGAGCTAACAGGACGACAGACACCAGCGGAGGCGGCGAGGCTGACTCCGTGATAAGAACGAGGGGATTCCACGGGTTCAGCGACCACACCCGAGCCTCTCATGGTTCTGACGAGTCTAGCACTGGATCTCTCTGTGCTCCATAATATCCACAAAACCTTCATATATTTAGGAAAACCTGATAATAACCAACTGTTAGAATGCTTATTATTACAGCCAAAAGCAGATATACTGAGGCCTAAAAAATAAAAGGAAACAACTGAAATACATAGTAGTAAGTGGCAATTTAACGTAACAAACGCCCTTCAACAGTCTTGGAGCACACTACCAAACATAGTGGTTTACTTAAATATGATAAAAGTCACAATCCTACCCTTATGCTGCTAAAGTTTTACATTCAGAGATTGAAGACAGAATCACAGGAAAAGCTTCCTGAGAGCTTCTGTAACAGTGCCCTGGAGCGCCAAGATGGGGAACACCTGACTCCTCGCTCTAGGATGCAGTCTGAACCGGTTCACATCGAGGAGAGGGCTGCGTATTTTTGGATTCTGTGGAACTTCTGGAGAACAGCTGTGTACCTCTGAAAAGCCCTGGCCACAAGTGACTCCCTTCTTGGCGCCGCGGGGGAGAAGCGTGGAAGGGGCGCTGTTCAAAGACTTCCTGTCTGGGAGCACCAGAGGGCTAGGTCACTTGGCCACAATGCAAAACGAGGAGCATCAGGCCACCCAGGCACCGGCCTGAATTACCACTTTTTGTGCTGATCAAATAGATGATCTTTGGTCTAAGAAGTCAGTAACTTCTGGTTTTGACAGAGAAGAAAATTCAGCCACTGAGAAACTTTAATCTTGGATTCTTTTCTGACTCCTAACAGACCCTCGGCAGCCAGTGTTTCAGGTTACATCTAACCAATTCCTCAGGCACTTCGTGAGCACAGAAGTCAGACCCGACACTCGCATTAATACATACGATCACATGTTGCGATCTGAATTAAAAGGATAACTGTGGGGTGAGCCGTGCTTGCAAAGCACACGAAGACAATGTCTTAGTTTTCCATTAAGTAACCAGCTACCAAGTATACAGAATTTAATTTATAATTTTGTTCAAAGTTCCAGCAAACTTATCCATTGTATAAACTGAGATCTATACATCATCACATTATACTTTAAGATGGATTCCTCAGCAAAACACGGGCAAATTCAGCCACATGAATGCACACCTGTAACCCCCAGCTACTTGGGAGCCTGAGCAGGACGCTTGTGAGTTAAGGGCAAGTCTAGGCAGACACAGGAGGATTTCGGGTTAAAGGTAAGCATAGGCAACCCACCGAGTGCTATCTCAGTACTTAAGAGTTACAGGATAGGGATGTAGAGATGCTTTCTTTGCCTGTACAAGGTCTTGGGTTCAATTTTTGGTACTGGGGGAGAAACAATAAGAAAATTATTTTTGTAATTGATGTGAAATTTTTATATTCCATTTTTCATTTGTTTTTTGAGACAATCTCACTATATAGTCTGGGCTGGTCTTGAACTTGCTTATGTAGTCCAGGCTGGGCTCAAATTTATGATCTGCTGCCTAGTTTCCTGAGTGCTGAGCCATATGCCACCATGCCCAACTTCTATTTAACTTTTTCTTTCGCAGTGCTAGGAATTGAACCTAGGGCCTTGTGAATACTAGGGAAGCACTCTACCATTGAGCCACAGCTCCCAGCCCCAAGTTTTAGTTAACTCCAGTCAAGCTTAAGGCTTACTGATCAGGCCACGCCAAGCGCAGTTGTGCCCACTGATAACCCACACACACTGGAGGCCCGTGCAGGGTGGCTACAAGTTCCAGGGCAGTTTAGGCAATTTAGCAAGATTCTGTCTCCAAACCAAAAGGGCTGGGATTATAGCCCAGTGATTACTGGGCTCAATCCCAGCACTGACCCATCCCCCAAAAGATAGAGAACCAACAGGTTCTCATCTTGGCTGTGAAATTGACCATATGTGAGCAAACTAACCTCATCCAGAGCCTGATTTATCTCCTCTGTAAGTGAACTAACTGTTCTGTGTATGAACGATGACTTAACTGATGCATCTAGCTTTCTTTAATGTAGGTTAGGGTTGGGTGTGGTGGTGCATGCCTGTAATCCCAGCACTCAGGAGGCAGAGGCAGGAGGATTGCTGTGAGTTCGAGGACAGCCTGGACTATAGAACGAGACCCTATCTCAGAAAAATAAAAATAGGGGCTGGGGATTTAGCTCAGCAGCACAGCGCCTGCCTGCCAAGCGCAAGGTTGTGAGTTCGACTCCCAGTACTGGAAAAAAAGAAAAAAAAAGAAAAAGAAAAAGAAAAATAGTAATATAGGTTAATATTTTAAAAGACAACAGAAATAAAGCCTCCAAAGAAGGATATATGTTAAGTAACTAAAATATATTTCAGGGTAGGTAGACAATTATAAAGTGAAGACAAAAAAAATTATAAAGACAGATTCATATAGTTCTTAACCAGGAGATGGTGGTGGTACTTAGGGAAGAAAACAAACTTTCATCTTCAAAAGTCACAAATATAAACAGACATGGCAGTGCACGCCTGTAATTCCAACACTTGGGAGGCTGAGGCAAGAGATTGCAGTGAGTTTGAGGCCAGCCTGGGCTACACAGTGAGTTCAAGACCAGCCTAAACTAGTGAGACCCTGTCTCAAAAAACAAAACCAATCAAACAAAAAAGTCACAAATACCAGAAGAATCCAAATGACTACAGAACTAGAAGCTCAAAATGACTGCAGAGATAAAACCAAGTGCACCTGTTATAAACAAATTAGGACATTCTGAGTGTGGGACAAACTTAGAAAGAACCAAACAGAGCTTTTATAAATGAAGTACTTCATTCACATAAAGAATGAACCGTTCGGTAAATATAATGTCCATGAAAGGATTCAACACGTTCCGTGCCTTGAAACATCAGTATTCTATCAGGTGGCTGGTACCACTGGTCATACAAATGGATCCAATCACCTTAATTGGTGTTTTTACTAATAACATTAATAAAAAGCCAATTGATGGGGCAGTCATGCCTGTGTAGCTGCCCAGGGGTGAAATGTATGGTCCTTTCATGACCGTGTTAAACAGAGACTGAAAAACCAACTACTAGTAATGCTAATGAAGGGATTCCACATCTGACATTCCTTCAATGAGTGCCATGTTAATAAACAGTTAAAAAAAAAACAAACCCCAAACCTAAACCTACTGAATACACCATAAAACCCTGGCCCCATCCTCCCCTTACCAGACAGTCAAAGTTTTCTTTTCTTTTTGGAGGTACTGGCAATTGAACCCAGGGCCTTTGCACTGAACCATGTCCTCAACCCCTTTCTTGTTTTTTATTGAGACAGTATCTTCCTAAATTGTCCAGATCGAGCTGGAACTTGCCGTCAGTCCTCTTGTCTCAGCCTCCCAGGCCTTGGGTACAGGTGTTAGGTCTGTATTTCTATGAATTTTGTACATTAACACTGTGTTATGGTTTGTGTCTGGGTGTCCCCCCAAAGCCTCATGCGGTGGTCACGGGGCAGGCTTTTAGGGTTTTATTGATTATGGGTGTGAGAGCTACACCCGCCCTGGGGTGGACAGTTTGCATATGTAAGGGAGAGGAAGAGGGTGCTTCTGGCCATTTCCTCCCTTGTGTGCTTGTTGTTTTGCTGTGTTCGGATGGACGCAATGAGCTGTAGCCCTCTGCCGTGTGCCACTCTGCCTTATAATCTGCCAAGTACGGACTGAAACCTCCACAAACTGTAAGCAAAATAAACCTTTCCTTCCTTAATTTGGGCGTCAGGTATTTTGTCCCAGCAATGACAGAAAAGTAACCAAGACACACTGACTGAAAATTACAAGTACAACATGGAACACAAGCATCTCTTCTTGCTAAGTCATTAAAATTTAACTTTTCCAGGTACTTGGGCTTTGACTTCTTCAAGGCATAAATGGGTGCTCCAGGGCAAGTGCACCGCCCTGCAGAAGGACTGACCACCGAGGGTTCTCACAGCCTCTGCTACATCATTAATCTACGGCAAGAGGCCAAAACAAAAAATGATGCTTCTAGAGGGCAAAGTCTGCATTCATCTTCAACTACGCCGCAAAAAACATGTAAAAAATATTAATCCCAAATATTCAGAGGGAAGAAACCTCAAAGGGAACTGGACTGATGCGTAAATAAAACTGGCAGGGCACACGGGTGAAACAATTCAGCCTGGAATCCAAAGCTTAAAAAAGCTATCATGGGTTTGCTGCTCTTCAGATATTTCTAAGTGCTTATTAATATGTATTTTGTTCACCTAACAAGATGGGCACAAGATTGAGAAATTATACACATACTAAGTAGAATGTATACAAATTTGCATACTAAGCAGCTATCAAAACACAAGCAAATATTTATGTGTCCTGGGGGCGGACATGAGTCTGTGACTGCGGGAGGCACTGGGAGCACACGCTGGGCCGCTGTGCAGCGGCAGAAGCTCACATCACAAAGCACCGTCAGTGGCATGAGGCCGACAGGTCCACTCAGGCCGATTACAGACGAGCAGGGGACCCAGCTGGCAGGACACGGGCCGCATACTCTTCTAGGGAAGCGACAGCCGGGAGGGACCCCACCCCCTAGCAGGTGAGGTTTGGACGCATGACCGAGGCTCACAGGGACATTCCCAGGGCATGAAGCAAGTATTCAGGGCCTTCTAGAAATTCCCTACAAGAACTGCAGAAGCATCAGTCACCATCCTAGCTAGATACTTCCTGAGGCATTTTTGGCTTTGCTCTTGCTTGCTTCCAGAATCTTGTTCTCCCTGTTATGCTGCGAGTTACCCTGTAACATTCCAGGACATTCTTTTTCTGTCAGTATTGGGCAGATCTGGTTTCTGTTGTTTGCGACCAAAAACCTTAACTGAAGTACATGCAATGAAATAAACAATATGGAGAAAATTCACACCTACCTGGCAGTTTCATACTGTTTCACAGTCATTAATGTATCTTCAATTGTTTTATTCACCAACGTGTTCACACTAGCAATAAAAAAATTAATGGCTCCAAGAAGAGTCTCTCCGTTTTTTGCAAGCAGTTTCTGGGTATCTGCGTTATAGCCAAATTCTTCCTAAAACAAAGAAGTTACCTTAACTTATCCAGTAATAAATTCACAGATATGACTCTGAAAATCTCAAACATATCACTAATGAGAAAATACGTGATTTAGAAATCTAGCAACGGAAGTATTACCTTTTTATGTCAATCTTTAAATAGGTAAGAATCTAAATCTAAATTATAAAGATACGTAATTATCAAAAAAAGTTTAGTGAGCCAAAATTACCATCAGCGCAGATGCATAGCTAAATCTAAATAACTTTTTAAATCTAAACTACTTTGTACTAGAAAGAATATTTTAGTTTCTACATTTTGTTTTTATTATACTGTAAGCACAGCTGTTAGGAAGAAAAATATAGCAGATTATTAATCAGAGAAACTATAACGTCTACCACCAAATTAGGTAAAAATTGGTTAAAACGTTCAGACATAAAATAGATAGCAATTTTTTGTGTTTTGACTGCGTCCCCTCAATGTATAAATATTAGCAAGACACATTTTGCTGTAAACTTCGTGACCAGTTGGCTCCTACGCACAGGTCTGTCTGAGCGCTGCGCTGAGGACAGATCACCCAGCCCCAGCTCATTCTTCTGTCTGGGTCTGCTGCGTCCTGGCTCAGCAGTGTCCTGGCTCATGTGTACATTACTCCTTCAGATACGGCAGGAAAACAGTCCTAAATATTCAGCAGTAAAATCTTCCCAGCCTACATGTCATCAATTAACAGATTAATCAGGAACACAGCTAACCAAATAAAAATCTGATCACATTTTATTGTAGGATGTATTTTAGGTTTACAATTCTCCAGCTTTTTTTTTTTTTAATAAAACATGCCTCAATTTCACCTGAATAAAATGTAATATAAAGAAGAATCTTCGACAATGAAAAATGAATGCTATGGTATAGCTATAACTAAATTTCTAGGTGATATACTGTTCAATAAATTACAAGACAGTAAAAATATCTATGCTATGCTAAAAGCATTTTCCATTTAAGATAGGTCCATGGAACTGTTTACTCTGGACTCAGTCTTCAAGATTGTACCAACACTGACTGCAAATATTGGAGATATAATTCCATAAAAATATCAATCATGCATGTAAAAACTAAAACAAAAGGTAGGACAGCTGAAGATTTTGGGCACCAAATTTCTACAAGCCAAATTATATATGACGTCTAAATAAACATTACCAGAAACAAGATGGCAGAAGATATGAATGTAATCATTATGTACTACAAACATGCACTAATAAAAATTAGAATCTTAGAACTTTTAGAAAATGTTAACAGAATATATTACAGCTCTACTTATTCCTTTGATAGTCATTAGGAGGTAAAAGGGAAAATCAAAAGGTAAGGAAGAAACATATGAAAGTTAGATTTATCCAAATACTACTGCTGGAAAAAATTACTGTTGTTGATAAAAAGTAAGGAAATCTTTTCTACACACTTCACAACAAAGTACATGTCATTATACCATAGCCCTGTAACATTGTATTTCTAAAAGTTCCATATTACTAACTAAAAATGCCAATGGTCTTAATTTAACCACAGAAAGGTACAGACGACCTACAAGACTGCTTTTTTTTTTTTTTTAATAAAAAAGAAAACAAATCAAACTAAAGATGAAGTTTCAGGAAATTGAGAAACTAGAAAATTTCACATCCTAAATTTATACCAGAACAATTAAGCCTTAATTCAAAGCACAAGGCAACAGTAAAGCAACACTGTTTTGTTTCAAGAATGTTAAATCTCACCTAAAATTCTGAGAAGAAACAATGTATGAAGCAAGATTTTAGGCCTGGGATGTAGTCCAGTGGTTGAGTACTCGCCTAGCAAGTGTGAGGCATTAGGACCAATCCCTAGAACTGTAAAACCAAACCAAACCAAACTCTTTAATATTTTTCATGCATGATCTGGAAACTCAGTGCGGAAATGTTGGTACAGGGAAAGCTACTGATGAACTGGGACAGAGGACATATGAAAACTCTCTGTATTATATGCTCAATTTTGTTGTGAACCTAAAATAGTTCTAAAAAATGAAATTACTTTAAAAATGGTTAAGATGCTAAATTGTGCTGTGTACACCTTAACACAATAAAAATTTTGGAAAAATTCTGAGAACTCAACTGGCTATAATAAAAAGAACTTTTTAAAAAAAAAGTAAAGCAAATGGGCTGGTGATATGGCTCAATGGTACAGTACATGCCTAACATGGTCAGGCTATGGGTTCAACTGCCAAGATTGAAAAATAAATAAATAGATTAAGTTATAATCTATTTATAGATTATATGCCATATAGATTATATGCCTATATAGTAGTAAATGATACAAATAATTAGAATACTAATGAGAACAAAATGAATATATATGTATATATATATATATGCACACACATACACACACACATTATAAATAAATTCACTTTTTGGTATTAAAATAAGATGAAATGTGACTCAAACAATTTAGTTGATGACAAGTCGATTATTTTAGCATTCTCAGTTATTTAGGAGTGTGTTACACATTAGTATAAATTGCTTTAATAATTACACATAAACTAAACATAAAATAAGGATGACTTACAAGGACAGAGCTGTACTTCTAAGCTGCAACTGAAGATGGAAGACTAATACAATTCCCAGAGCTAAAGGTTTAGTGGTGAAAACAGCACGTTACTGGCATCAAACCAACACATAAGAAAAAAAACAGCATAGAGAACCCAGAAATAAATCTATGCATCTTCAGCAGCGGTAGCGAACCTATGGCATGCCTGCTGCAGCAGGCTGTTTGCATCACTGAAAGCTCTAAAAGGTTCACCATCATGGATGTACAGCCAAACAGAATCTTCAACACAGGCACAAAAACACAGTGGAAAGAGACAGTCTTTTCAATAAATGGTGCTAGAAAAACTGGCTAGCCATATGGAAACTTAGAGCCCCCATGTATAAAATCAACTCAAAACATGTAAGAAAAATGAAAATATGAAACTGCTAGAAGAAAACATAGGGGAAACATTTCAAAATATCATTAGGCAATGTTTTTTCATATAAGATCTAAAAAGCATGTATAAGATCTTACAAGCACAGGTAACAAAGCAAAACCAGACAAATGGTATTGTATCAAACTCAAGCTCTTGCACGGCAAAGGAAATCAACAAAGAGAAAACCTAGAGTGAAGAAAATACTGCATTTGCAAACAATTTACCTGACAAGAGATAAATATCTAGACTATAAAAGCACTCAACTCAATAAAAAACAGTACCACTAAGCTGTGGGCAAATGATCTGAAGAAACACTTTTTCAAGTGGATATAGAAATGACCCAACAAGTACATGAAAAATGTTCAATGTCACTAAGCAGATATGCAAACCAAAACCGTGAGATACTATCTCACCCCAGTTACAATGACTATAAGCAAAGAGACAAATAAAATAAAATAAATGAAAAGATGAGAACAAAACACGCCAGTGAGGGTATGGAGAAAGGCGAGCTCTTACACACTGCTGGTGAGAATGGAAACTGGTACAGCCACTATTGCAACAGTGTGGAGGTTCCTAGAAAAACAAAAAAGAACTACCATATAACCCAGCAATCCTGCCTTGGGGCATGAATCCAGAGGAAATAAAACCAGTATGTTGGACACAAAAGGTCATACATGTACGATCCCTTTATGTCAAACATCCATAAATGCAAATCTATAGAGAAGCACGGCACACTAGTGTTTGCCAAGGGCTGTCTGGAGAATAAGACAGGTATGGGGTTTCTTTTGGGAGTGATAAACATGTTCTGGAATTAGACGTGACTGATGCACAACTTTATGAATATACTGAGCAATGAAACAGGACATTTCTTAAAGGGAATACAAATTATCTTTTATGCATGTCTGTTCCTTGAATTGCGCACTTTACAAGGATGAGCTATGGTCTGTGAATTGTATCTTCAAAAATAAAACTGGAATACATCTGTGGAACAGGCACACCAAGTATGGATTTGCCTCCCCTGCATACAAAGCCTCTGCTAAAATTCCCTCCATGTGTATGAATTGTATGATGCTCTAAAGGTTTTGAGTTTTGGAGCATTTCAGTTTTCCGTATTAGGAATTTTCAGCTAGTAAAGTCTATGCAAACCTTCTAAAATAAAAACAAACAAAACAAAAAAACCTCTGAAATCTCAAACACTTCTGTTCCCCTGCATTCTAGATAAGGGTTACTTTACATGCAACGAATACAAAGCCCCAGCCCACGGCATTTAAGAGGTGGTACAATCGCCGCTGTTATGATATTAAGTTTCCCACCTACTAGTTCTTTTTTCTGTCTAATGGATCAGTTAAAATTGAATTTTCTCACTGTTACGACATGTATCACCATCTGTACCAAACTTTCTTTGCCCAAGGTTATAGGGCAAAGCGACTTAATTTTTTTTTTTTTTTTACTTAATGTTTTAAATTATCTAATTCTTCATGTAAGAAGTCTGTAGGCAAAAGAATATCTACACTATCTGGCTTCAGGCAAGAAAAGAAAAAAAACAAAAAACAAAACAACCCACTCAAACATAAAAAATGTCAAAAGACAGCAAAAGAAACTCTTTAAAATGCGGCACAAGCACCTGCTTGGCAAGTGCAAGGTCCTGAGTTTGATTCCTGACACCAAGAAGAAAATGTTTTTGCTGAATATCTACAGAGATAAATCCTGAAAAAAACTTCATTTACATATTTATCTAATTTCCTTGCTTGCAGTAGTAGGATACAACCCAAGGCTGTGCATATACTAAGCATGTACTTTACAACTGTGCTTAACCTCAAACTTCCTATTTATATCAATGATTTCAGTAAAAGTATATCACAAATTCATTCACACAAGACACAAATTGTTCAACATATCTGGGATGGGCAAGAGATGATTTTCAATAAATGTCTAATTTATTTTTTACCTACACCAGAGCTATATAAAACTATGATTTTTTTCTAGGCTGGGGCAGGCTGAGTACTCTTCCTTCACCCTAATCAAATTCCTTCCTTCTAAAACCTCCAGCTGACCTCTATTCTACAGTACAAGTGGGTCAGTAAGTTGACAGAAGTCAGCCAGGTCTTCTCATAGGGCTTCAGGTATAGCCAGTGGCAAAGCATGCGCGCGTCCCAGCATTCCACAAACAAACACAGAAATTCCAATTGCATAGAAGTTCAGCAAAACATAAATGGAACAAATTACCTCATAAAATACTTCTACTGCCATTTCCTGCACCCCAATAGTACTGAAAATAACCTTACATGGAGTTCTAGAGATTTCAAACTCAGGTCAGCAAACGCATCTCCAAGCTGCCTCTGAGTGTGCACCATCTGGAAAAGCTGGGTTGACAGTGTCTGAGCCAGTCTGAGGATATTTTCATATTTTTTCTTATTATCTCTTAATATATCAATCTGGGCTTCAAGTTCAAGGTCCACAGTTCTTGAGCCACGGCCTAGCTTCTCAGAGATAATTTGTCGAGTACACTAAAAGTGGAAAAATGCACTTTATTTAGAAAGGGGAAAAAGCCAGAGTAACAGCAAAAAAGTAACATGTCATTCAAAATACAAATGCTAGAGCATATCTGATTCTTTGACAGAGTGAGCTAATTTAACAGACTGAAAACTGTCAACCCCTTTAGAAATTCTAATCCGAAGACATTTAAAGACTTATCTAGAGAATTTATACACTGCTAGATGGATTTTCTCATAATTGTAGTATTCCAAATCTACTGCATTCAAATAAATTATTTAAAACTGAGAAACTTGGCGTTAAAAATATTAACCCTGTTAACACAGAAATCATGAAGGATACCAAAATTCTATTCTCCTGCTGGTCTCAAATGTCTACCTTCCCCTTCAGTAGTCTGCATCTGTATTTGTATGAAGGCTGCATGAAGGGGAGAAAAGGAGAAAAACAGAGGAAGTGGATGGAGAGGGTGGCAGGAAAAGAGGGGACAGAGAGAGAGGAGAGAGAGGTGGAAGGAGGCAGAGAGAGACGGAGAAGGCAGGGAAGGGGGGAGGGAGGGGGGGGAGGGAAGATGGGGAGGGAGGGACAAATGTAGATTCATTAAAGATTCCTAAATTCTCCTTACTTTTACTTCTGCCCAAATAGCACTGCGCTATGTTATTCTCTTACTCTTTTCGGTCAAAGAAATGATACAGAAGCTTGTAATTTTTTAAAGTGAATCTAATTTCAGAGCTCCACATAGCATTAAGTTTCCTTATTATTAGCATTTTTCTAATTGTTAGCATTTCACTACTCAATAATACATTTCAAGAGTAATTATATAGGGTGTCAATATACTCATCATTGAAGGTTATCAAAAACATTCTAAAAAGTAGTAAATACAACATTTTCTATGTTAAATGGCTCTGAATGCTGAATTCAGATTTTTTAAAAATTTCAAAAATTTGTCTCTGTAGCCTAGGAAAAAGCAAAAACAGACCCCCACCAAAAAAGATAAAACAGAGTTCAATATTCATAACTATTTCTGCAGATAAAAATAAATTCTGAATTTAAATTTTGTGAATAAAACCAGGCAGATTCAAATAATGCTTAAAAAAAGCAGGGTCCACAGCCTAAACTTAAAATTGTTATACTTAGTTTTAATCACTTGACTGGAATTGGGGCCAAAATTGACAATGAATAAAACAATAGTAAATACTTTCTCTGAAGATAGTATTTGCTAGAGAACAGAAACAGAAGAAATTAAAGGAAGAAATCATAAAGGAGAGATCAAAGAGCCAGAATTCAGTTACTCAAGAATAATATGTATAGCAAGCACAGTCTTAAATTAACCAAATCAAAACAAGCACTTGCAGCACTGCCCAGTGACAGAGAACCCCAAAAGGCTGACAACCAGGAAAGTCTTCAGACACAGGAGGTGGCTATACTTCGGTGGGGAGGGGCACGTCAGCCTAGGCACACAGGGCTGCCAGCTCCCTAAAACCATGCGAGAACTTCCTTTCTCTCTTGTGATCTAGTCTGGAATATCCAAACTAAGTTCTGAGGAAAAAACACTTCGTGGAAAACTAAAGTGATCACTTGGTGCTTCTTTCACACAGTACAACACTTCAAGGTTGGCCATTTTCTTTAACAGAAAAAGGCCTAATGGGGCATACCAAAACTGTGAGAGAGGAACATGGAAGCTTAATGATTCAACTCAGATTACTGCAGCGCTAGGAAATGGAAGGAAAGGAACAGAGAATACACAAATGGGAACAAGTGGAAAGGAATGAGGAAGAAACTAACAACACAAGAGAAGACTCAAACCAACAAAAACTTTAACTTTAAAAAACATGTAATTACTAATTACTAGGATTTGGTTCAGAAATAAGGTCTATGTTCTCCCGGTTCAAAATGTGTGGACAAAGAATATTAACAGAGGCAAATTTTATACTTCAATGAACAAAAAGAATGCTACATAAATTTAATAAATAAATGAATGAAGCTCAGTCTGCTGCGAAGGATAAGTGAAATGGAGGGGGAATTCCAAGCAACGGGCAAATACTGCCTCATGAAGCGTTACAGAATGTGAGAAAGCACAGACTGCTGAAGGAAATCTCTGGGTAATTTGGTATCAGAGCCACAGACAGAGCAGAGAGGGGACAGTGAGACATAAAGTTGGAAAGGCAGACAGGAGTCCGACGCATGTCATTCTAACGATGACAGCGATTGGCTGAAAGTTTTTAAAGAAACAGTGACTACTCAGCCAGGTATACTCCAGGAGAATTTGTGAAGAAGCTATTCCGAGAGTGGGCAGGGGAGACAGAAGGAGGCGGGGAAATAGGAACCATGGCTGTGAAGGCTGGGATGGAGAAAGTGAGAAAGCTAGGGCAGAAACCACAGGGTATGTGGGTCAGCGAGGACATAAGAGCAGACATTTGTGAACGCTGGGGGAAACCACTGTGACGGGAGGGAACATAGACCCCAAAAGATACCTGGACTGGCTGAATCCCCAGCAAGAAGGTGCAAAGACTTAAGAGAACACCCGCATGAGAAGAAAAGCTTAAGTAAGCATCGCTTTTTAAAAATTACCATTGGCATTTCTCAGGTTCCGCGGTGACATGAGCTAAATACCTTATGGAAAGATTTATATTTCAGGGCACTTTTACCATTTTAACTTATCTTGTAGAGGATTTCAAAAAATATTTTTTAAAATATTAACTGAAGGAATAAATCCACTCATTTGACTCTTGAGAGACTCATCCAGTGCACTATTCTGCAAGTCTCCTGCCCTATCCCTGGTAAGATTCGAAGGTACTAAATGGATTTAGGACTCTGGCTGTTTGTAATATATAAGATTAAATAATTTGCTTACTTGTTTCATGGTAAATAATCACAAAACAAGGAAAATAACCACCAAATACTCTGAAGCAACACAACTAACAAGGTCAACAAACTTTAAAAACTCAACTAATCTATAATCTGGCGCTGTCCTTACAGTTAATACTTAGATCATCACTAGAGCCCAGGAGTTCAAGACCAGCCTGGGCAACACAGTGAGAACTTGTCTCTTAAAATTAAAGATAAAGCGTAAAAAAAGCAGAAGGGGAAATAGAACTATAACAACTCTGTAATACATTCTATTATTTTTACAAATATCAATAATAAAACACTATTTTCTAATTGTATTTCCTGTTTAGATGGTGTAACTCCTATGTGGTCATATAACTGCAATATAGTCATTTGATTAACACAAAAATAAAAATTCTTAGGACCACTAGAAACATTAAAAAATTACAAACCTTATATGTGTTCAGACTCCATTTTCTAACAAGTTCTAACTTTTCCATTGCAGGATTTTTAATTTCATCTGCTAGAATAACTGGTCCACTTTTTGTTTGTGTTTTCTGGCCACCTGCATGATCATAACAAAAGACAAAACACACACAATCCAGATAAAGTCAGGAAAGAAAATAAAACAATGATCAAACTAAACTCCTTATGCACTTAGGAAATAAAGATGCCCACAAAGTGGGTGACTGGAATGTCCTAGAATCAATGATAATAATTTTGTAATCATTCCAAAAATACAGTATTTCTGTCTGTTAACTATAAATGCCATGTGGTTTGGTTATCATATCAATTCTTTTTTTTAATATCAAAATTCTTGTTTATATTAACTGTTGTTTATCTCAAGAAAAATAAAAGTTTGACGACTAATCTTAAAGCCTGAACTCTCTTCGTCAGTAGAAATTCCTACACTAACTATTTCATTGCTCTGAAAGGTAGTGATAATCCTTCATTTTCCTACACTAACTATTTCATCTCCCTCTCAATAACTTCTCCTGTTATTGTACTATATTGATCAGAAAAAAGACAGAATGTTGCTATAGTTCTGGACAACTGGAAAAAATAATTCAGCCATTAAAAATGAATGTTGTTGCCATAAGGGGATGCTGTTTGAGGAGGTAGATATGTGTAAGCTGATTTACGCACTGTACAGTGTAAAAAAATATCACGCGGTGCCCCATTACTATGTACAATTTTTATGTTTTGATGAACCAGTTAAAAATTAATTTAAAAAATGTTACCACCTGCCTATGAGGATGGGCTTACATAAGACCTATACTGTACAGTTTTTTTAAGAGTTCTTCCAACACAGCAAGACTCTGTCACACAAAAAAAGCTCTTCCTCCAAAAGCAAGGCAGCATGAAGCACTGACAAATGTACTGTTCCAACAGCCGAGGTTTTATGGTAGAAAAAGCAGCTCTGCGGCTATATAGTTTCCATTAGTAAAATATTTTCCACAGCACAAGAAATGTTTCATAAACATTTATAATATCAATGATTTGGGATATAAACTTTATGATAATTTAAAAAGAGCAATGAAATAAGGTGAGAAAAATTACAAAAAGTGGTCTTAAAAACTGAAGGTCAGTAAAAATTTCTTCTTATTTATTCCCAGAGTTAGCCTTTAACAGTTTCATCACAGACTAAAACTGAGAACTACATATAAAATCAAACATATTTAGTAATTTATAAAATTCTCATAAAGACAAAAAACTATCATTCCATATGAAAAAGAAATGTGGAGTTCACGTTTCCCATTTTTATATTCCAGCAACATTGAAATGTAGAGCAAATTAAACACAGATCTTTTCTTTTTCCCAAGTATCTTTCATTGGATATAACTGGTAAATTACATGGCATTTTGTCACACTCTGCAAACTACTTCTAAACTGAGGCTAAAATAACAAGACACAACCTTTTCCAACTGACCCATTCCTAACTGTTGAAGTTTCTTTAAAAGAAAAATATCCCAAGAAAACTAAAAACAGGGCAGAGCTGCAAAGCTGAGAGGTTAGGATCAAACACATGAACCTGAATTGCCCAGAGCAAAGCAGGATGATTTAAAACAAATCACATTATATTGGTTTTAACCTTAAGAAGATAGATTAGAGATATTGCCTAATTACTTTGAAAAGCCAGAAAGGTAGGCCATGACTATAAAGATTACTTCCTTTCTTGTTAAAAAAGAAAAAAAAAGCAGCCAGCCACCAAAACAGCCCAAATAACACACACCTAAGAATATAAAGCAAGTGATTATGAAACTGAATGAGTTAGTTTAGCTTCAGCAGCAGCAGCAGCAGCAGCAGTAAGAAGGGCTTTATCCAATCAGTGCAGCGAGTACCTGCAGGAACAATTAAATCACTTCCTTGTGGAGCCAGTCGACTAGCTGCAACCCTGCTAGGAGACATAACAGATGGCAAAGGTGGTTCTGGGGAACCTGAAAAGGGCAGACATTTAACTGTGAAAATCCTCTTCCTCCTCCACATACTACACGTTTTGAATATGGTTCTACTTACTTTTCTTTTCAACTATACTGAGGTCAAGGACTACAGTAATACTGAGGTTAATAAACTACATAAAAGACAAGAATTAATATATTTACTTTCTTGAAGGAAAAAACTAATAAATGGAGCTATCAGGCTGTTCTTGTAAAAACTTTTCATCGAACTATCAAAACCAAACAAAGCTCCTAAGTATACAAGGAAATTTGGCAAGGCCACATCTAAACAAGACCTCACCTGGACTCTATGATTTCTAAAATCAATTAATAGAATATGATTAAAATCCACACTTGGAATGATTTAACACTTAAGGAAATATTTCATAATTTCCTACTCTTTAATATGAAGGAAAAAGTCAAGTAAAAATCCAAGGCACATAAGGGATATCATATTTTCAGATTTCATAGAAATGTGAGTGAATTATAACCTTCATAGGAATTACCACCTTCACAGGAATTGCAGCCCAAAATTTCAAATCATAAATTAAACATCACCAAGTGCAGATCACTGCTGCTCACAGTGGGGTGCAGGGCACTTGCCGCAATGAAGTCACCTGGGAGGGAGTCTGTTAGACACCTAAGTGTCAGCAGCTGGCCCAGACCGCCTGAGTCAGAATCTGCCTTGGGACCAGGTCCCTAGGCGCTTTGTACATACAGTACTTTGACGTTTTAGAAGTGCTGATGTAGACTGATCACAAGAATGCCTGGAGCTTTTAATACATACTTTAGACACGCACAAGACCTAAGGATTATCTGTCATTTCAAAAAAGCCACTCAGATGATTTTCAAACAATATCAAGTTTGGGGGCCAGAGAGAAGAACACACTGCCTGAATGAAACACTGAATTTGAAATTCTAACTCTGGGTTTGAAATTCCGGCTCTGTCTACCACATAGTGTCACCTGACAGACTGCTTCATACCTCTGAGCCAGAGTCACTCACAGAGTAAGAGTACGGACCAAACAACAGTGCTGCTAATGTTCAATATGAAACCGAAGAGAAGGGGCTGTTCGTTGAAACAACTGGGAAAAATATGATTTGTCCTTCAACCTTTAGCTGAGAATATTTTAATGTTTGTAATGTACTTTTATTTCAGTTACACTCTTGCCCAGTTCTCTGGAAAATCCGTAATACATCACACTCATAATTAAGTTTTCTAATATGAAAGAATCAATATCCATTCTCTTTACTTAAAATTAGCAATAATTGCATATATCCTAGATATACTAAACTCTGGTGAAGAAATAGCCACTATTCTAATAGTGAATTTGGGCTGGAACTCATATTAAAATTCAAACATGAGTAGATCTAAATGGATTGTCACTACCTTTCAGGGTGAGAGATACTGTATTTGCTTCTTTAAATCTGCTGAACTATTAAATTTAAAACTAGAGGGCGTGGCAGAAATCAGCTGAACTCTCACATTTAACTGTAAGAGAAATGAGGCCCAAAGGTCAAATTGGTTTTCTTATTAGAGACTCAGATAATCTGAATCCATACCATAATATCTCTATTATGAAATTTAATGCAGAAAACACTAATCTATAAATCATTTGATAAGTTGGGAGGCAGTATATTAGCTTACCCAGCCCAATCACCATTTAAAAGACTGTATCTTTACTATGCAAAGCATAGGGTTTCTATTATAAGTATTTGATAAAATAAGACTACCGTAGTAGTCCCATGTCTTGATGACTCTAGGAACAAAGCTCTGCTGTTCTAATTATTACAGCTTATTAATCTTGCATAAAAAATAACACCATAGCACTATACAAGATACGTTGAAAGCATTTACCTAGTATGCATGGGGCCCTGGGTCCAGTCCCCAGTACCACACACACACAGACACACAGACACACATACCTAAAGAATGAATGAATGAATAAAAATGAATTCTGAAATAGGTGAATGATCCAAAAATTGTGCCAGTTTATGAAAAATAAGCCTTATACCTTGGCGCACTCATAACTCTCGGTAGTTGGTCAACCTTTCCACATTCCAAGTTGTCCCCAAGATATGAATATATCAATGCTTCAAAAGTAAGTACAGATTACTTTTTAAAGACCATGTTCTGATTTTTGTTTTCCAGAATCCACATACAGTGCCCAGAGAGCTTATATGTGCACATAAGGATACTGACAAGCTTCTGCCTTTTTTATACCTTTACCATGGTACCTCAATTCACAAACTTACTTTGTTCTACAAGTTTGGAAAAGTTGGCCATGTTTGTGTTTGTGGGGGAAAGATGGCCACGGCCAAGGCCACGTTTGTCATTCAATGCAGAATTTGCAAACAAAAACAAAGTTCTCCCAAATGCTTCTGTCTGAGAACCAAACTGTCTGCGAACGAGTGTCTGTGAACTGAGGTACCACTGTATTTTCTAAACAGAAGAATGAAAAGGATAAAAAACAATGTCACTAGGTAGTCCATTCCCTGCACAGCTTAAAGTAGAGGATGTTATACTGGATTATTTGTTCTAAATGTCTATTTCCAGGACCCATGTAATAAGTCATGTATTTCAAATCTAAAGTGTTCCTGAATAAAGACTTGGCCAATACTACAGTAAAAATATAGAGTACGAACATTTGCAAGAGGTCCAAGTATTGCAGAGGCGTGGAGATCATTTCATTTTGTGAAGTTACAATACAGTATTAAAATAGCCAGGTGTGGTGGTGCATGCCTGTAATCTTGGTATTTGGGAGGCTGAGGTAGGAGGACTGCCATGAGTTCAAGGCTAGCCTGAATTGAATAGTGAGACCTTCTCTCAAAAAACCCAAAAATTAATAAATAAATAAAGGAATAAAATTAATATACTTCACTGAACACCAACTAGAGCTACTTAACGATAGGTCTGTCAAGAAAATAATCTATTTTTCTACATTCAAATGTTTACATGGTTTTTCTTTCACTCATATCAAAATGAAAAAAAACTAGAAAAAAGTATAGGTGAGAACATTTACAAAGGAATCAATTTTTCCCTTTCTATTAAACACACACACACGCACGCGCACACGGTGTGTGCAGAGAGAGTTCACAAAGCAGGTCTAACTGCCCTTCCTTAAAAATTACCTGCTTGCTAGCCTGGCTCTTGGCTGGTGTCTGGGAACTCCAGTGTTGGGAGGATCCCCTCCATTCTTGCAAGGATGGGCTCACCCCGCCTCAAATGTTTATACAAACAGCGTGTACTATGCACTGCGGTTTACCCGTTCCTTTGGAGGTCTAGGATCTGGATTCTATGTGAGTGGCCCCGATAAAATCCCTGGCAATCCTTCTGTAAATGAGCTTCTTAGCAACATTTTATGCGTGTTGTCACAACTCAGGGCTGGAGGAATTAAGAAATTCCTGTGAGGCCTCACTGGGAGACGACCCATGGACACTTATGCCTAGCTTTACCCAGACTTTGTCTCACGCGTCTTTTGCCTTTACTGATTATGCTTGGAATTCTTTGACTGCAAGTAATCAAGGCTATGAGGGGGACAATAAGCACAGTCTTATAGTCCTCCCAGCACATTACTGAGCCTGAGGTTAGTCATTACAGGGTCTTGGAGACCTTCTACACAGCATGTATAATAGGAAAAGTAACAGTTCATTCTCATATTTACTTTGAAATAGGAAATACGCATTTATACCAATCGATATTTATAATCTTTGCTCTAATTCTTTTGTGGTTACAAATTTTGTGTTACAAACATCTAAATTTATATCATCGTATAATTTTTGAGTTTTTTACTTCAGTACTTAAAAAAGGACTTTTAAATACTGAAATTATGCACATTTATAAAAAATTATTAAAACAATTCCTACTTAAATTAAGAAAAAAGGATTATGTGTATGATCAGCGTTTTGTCGCTGAATTCCTGTGCTTGACTAAGAAAGGCAGCATTCGGTGAGCTTCTCCACCCGCCACCCTGGCCATGTGCACAAATGCATGGGCGCTTACCTTGATATGCTCCTGCTTCAATAACGCCCTCTTTGGTACCGTCAAAGCCGTGAGACGTAATCTGAGTTTCTGAGAGACCAAGTCCGGATGGCAATGAACGCTTCAAGTCCTTAGTAACATTTGAATAAAAGAAAAAAATTTTGTAAAACAATCCCACAGCACTTAACGGTACAGGATAACCGTGTTCCTTTAATCACATTTTGTACTGTCTTACTCTCTTCTATGTAGTAGTCCCTTACGCTGCCATGGCATTCTAAAATTATATATAAGCAGCAGCAAATACAGGGTGATTTGCTATTAACAGGTATAGTGTATGTCAAATACAGTGTACATCATTATTGTGGAAATAGGCAGCAGGTAGATATTAAAATTCAACTTAAAACTTGATACTGAAATGTTATATATCAAAATACTGATATATTATATCAAAAAAATTATTTTAAGGAAGGAACAGAGTTAAGGTCACTAACATGCCATGTCTAATAGGTAGACTTATAACCATGATAAGCCTAGCCAATAAGTCAATATAAATACATCATTCACTTGCAATGTCAATTTCCCTTCAATTTCAAGATTAAATTGGGTTTCTCTGACTTTAATCAGGGTGACACAAAGGAAATTTCCTTTACTTAGATATATAGTAAACACTGACACTAGTTTAAGTGAAAATTAGCTTATAATGAAACTTTAACTGTAATGAAAGTAACACTCAACCTCAAGTCTTATATTTTAAAAAGAACAGAGAGTCAAGAAGCACAGCGCCCTCTATGAGGCACAAACAAAGGTTAAACATTTTCTAAAATATTTTGTCCAGAACTTTGTAAATTAAATGTCAGGGCTTATAATGATTAGGCTAACAGGCTAGAAAAACTACCTACAATGACCAAAATCCAAAGTGCAGGCCTCAATTTGTTACCTCAAAAGGAGAAAACTATATTAATAACAGACTAAAAATTGGTACGTCTACCATGACTGGAGCACAAAAGAAATTTAACTCAAGTGAAAGTATTAAATCTAAATAAATTCACTTTTCTATTTACCTTTATTAAATTTTCAAAGGAATTTCAGGGTCATAAGAAATGATAATATAACTAATGATGAAGCTAGCTATAATTACATATTTTTACCAATCGATTACATCTCTTTTAATATAATGGTAGAGAGCCTATAGTAGGTGCCCAGCATATGGAACAGTTTATAATGTAGTTAAGAACTTGGGGGCTGGGGATATAGCTCAGTGGCACAGTGCCTGCCTCGCAAGCACAAGGTTCTGAGTTCAATTTCTGGTACTCCCCCAAGAAAAAAAGAATTCAGAAAAGGGAATGATCAACATGTATTAGACAGAAGGAAGTTTTACCAAGGTGGACCATACAGAACGCTGGAGAGATGGAATGAGGGTGAGGAAGGACGCATTTTCAATCTAACAGAAAAACCTGTCGGGGGGAGGCAGGAAGCCCTATGGCCATTATCCAGTTACTGGCATAGCAAGAGGGCTGCCAACCAGGCTTCTCTGGCGAGTACACTAAGCTCTGTGCCTTAAGATGGCGTAAATGAACTAGGAGGAAGTTAGATAAATTACTAAGGTAGAAAATTTGACCTTGATTGAATTAGAAAGTTGATAACTTTTGAATAGCAGGTTTATCTGATTTGGTGCAAGGACTGCTTTAAGAATATTAATTTAGGCCAGGTGTGGTAGCATACCCCTGTAATCCCAGCACTCAGGAGGCTGAGGCAGGAGGATCACTGTAAGTTTGAGGCCAGCCTGGATTACACAGAGAGTTCAAGGCCAGACTGAACTACACAGCAAGATCCTGCCTCAAAACACAAACAAACAAACAAAAAAACCAGAAAAAAAAAAAAACCCCACCAACTGAAAGAGAGAACATTAGTTTAGAATACATGTAAAGAGTTCTAAAAGTGAGAAACTGAAAGCCAAGAGCATACCTTTCAGCTCAATTATTCAATAATAATAGCTGAGGATCAGAAAGGTAGCTAAAAGAATGATGGAAAAAGATAAAATGCGGGAATAGCTACAAGAGTAATTAAAATGCAAACTTTTAATGAAAATTTAGGATACAGCCATGTGTTAAGTATAAAAATAAAATTAAATAGTTAAGACAATATATCCAAGAGACACAAGAGGCCTATACAAAAGTTAATTTTCATGAACATAAATCAATATATGGAGGGGTTATTTATCTAAATCGCTAGCCAAAATTTTTTGAACAACTACATCTATTCTGCTACTGAAATTAAAATACTGTAGGGAAAGGTTGAGTGCAAATCTGTCAACTTATACAAACTGGCAGAAAGACAATAAAAATGACTAGGTTTATTATCCCTATCTTTCTGGGAAAGGGCATAGGGTTTAGATGAAAATAGATACTCAGTTTGAGAGCACAAACAATACACTTCCTGAGGATGGACAGAATTTTGTAAGGTGACTAAATACGGCCTGATGCTTTTCTCTACTTTGAGATCAGCTTTGGAAGAAACCTGGGGATCTGTAGGAATTGGGTGGGTGCTCAGGTCCAGAGCCTGCTGAATCTCTGTCAGTAAGTTCCTTCGTTTAACCACAAATATTTAGAATACATGACTTCAAATTAAATACATAGGAATTAAAGTAATTCCCGTTGGGGGATGTCTTCGAGCTTTAATATTGCTTAAAACTATTTAGATATTTTACTCAAGTATTTTAAGAACTGAAGTATTTTTTTATTTTAAAGATAAAAGAATGAAAACATCTTAACAAACACACATACACTTAGAAAATAGTCCAAAAACAGTACAAGCAATACAGAATCTCAGACAAGGTGATAGGAAATTAACAATGGTTGTTGTACTACATATTGATATCTTCAATTTGGATACTCAGATAAACAAATACAGACATGTAAGATTAATCATACACTTGAACATTAACTGTTCATTTCAATAGAGCAATCAAAGTCAGTAGTACAACTATGTTAGCTATCCTGTGTATGTATATGTATATTTTTTTTCCCCTTCTTTCTTTCCACTGGTGTAAGAACCTGAAAAGGTAACTAAAAGCTAGGAAGTACAAAAGACATTGTGAAAGGGAAGGAAACTGCTCAAAAGGGAAGAATGACTGGATGAGGGAATATCTGAAGTATTAAATAAATGTGGCTTAAACTGAAAGTGATTTCTAAGCTTTCCTAAAAATAGAAAGCTGATACCCGTATAATGGTCTCCCATTGTTTTTCTAGCATTTCTAGTATGCATGTCAGACCTGAAATCTACCTGGTTTTAAAAGCACATTTGTTAAGTTTTAGATATTTTTTTTAAAAATCTGTTCAACCTTGGGCCAGGGATATAGCTCAGTGGTACAGCGCCTGCCTGGCAAGCACAAGGTCCTGAGTTCAATGCCCGGTACCAAAAAAAAAAGTCTGTTCAACCTGAAATCTCCAATTTCATAGCTTGATTCCCCTTCTCTATCTGGACAAGTATCTGTCCAGTTATTGAGTGACTTGTGATTGCAAATATGATAAATGGAGGCAACTGTATCTGGGAATGGATCCTTAACCCACAGTTCTGAGCCTTGGGGTTTTGTCACATAGTGTTTTCACTGGTAGTAAGGTGTGTGTCATGGGATTTGTTACTAACAGTCATTAAAAGTTAAATTTTATCAGCTTCACTGTGTAAAATATTTAAATTAAGTAGGTCCAAGGTAATCTCTACAACTTCCTCTTTAATTGCCTGCAATATGCTTTCTGGACTGAGAGATTCAAGGCAGAGTTTCAGAGGACAAATAAGATTGCTTTGGCACTTTGGATATCAGTGGAGAACTTGGTCTGATTCCAAATGTACCCACTGTTTTAAAAAATAACTAGCAACCACTTGATGAGGCAGCTTGACGTCATGGTTACAGTGTCTGCCCCGCACAGCTCGGTTAGGTCTGAGTTTGAGTCCTGGCTCAGTCACTTCATGGTGACATGAGCCCAGGCACGTTCTGCATACGGCTAAGGGTCTTTACTGTAAATAGGGATGGTTAAGGGGCAAAGCTCCTTTCCTCATAGCGACATACAGGAGTATACTGGACAACATCTAGCACTTCAAATATCAATATCCTTTCCCTTTACTAATGTATAAACTTTTTTGGAGATCCAAAGTTACTGCAGGAATAAAAGATTTTCTTATACTTAAAACTGGACATTATATGTATTTTCATATCATTTGAGATAAGCAAATTTTTTTGAGTGATAAATACAGCAGAAAACACACCAAAGTCATTAGTGTGCTTCTTCACTATCCCAGAAGCATTCCCACACTATTACACTCAGAGTGCCACCTTAATTACATTAGGGCATGTCTATATCTGAAAACAACCACATAATTAATTTCTGATATCCACCAACTCTAAGCAGAGCAACTACCCAGAAGTCACAAGTCTGAGAGATCTCAGTTTTATTTATTTATTTATTTTTTGGGTTTTTATTCCGGTACTGGGAATCAAACTCATGACCTCATGCTTGCCAGGCAGGCGCTGTGCCACTGAGCTACATCCCCAGCTCCTGAGATCTTAGCTTTAAAATGTACATATTAGCTGGGTGCTCGGTGTGTGGTTGGAGTCCCAGCTCCCCACCCAGGAGGATGAGGTAGGAAGATCACTTGTGAGACCAGGAGTTCAAGGCCAACCTGGGGAATATAGCAAGACCTTACTTCAAAACAAATAAAAACAACAAAAGAGAACAGCTTGGTGTGTAAGATGATAATTTAGCAGAAACTGTGAGCATGGACAAAGATAGAGAAAAATGTAGGAAAGATACACTTTAAAGGCAATGTAATGAGTATGATATCACAAGTAAGCACTATATAGAAAAAAAATAGGGAGGAAAAGGCCAGTTGGGAGATCATGAATTTTATTAAAAATCAGTCAACTCAGTAGTAATAGGGATGTTTCATAAATAAAAAGAAATTGAAAGACAGGTAGGTTTTTCAGTCATTTATACACTTCTGAAAATCTTAAAAGACTAGAAACTAGCATATTCCTAGATGCCTCTGTACATTCAATAAGTCAGGCTTCTAAAAATTCAAGATCTGAACCTTATCTATCATTTATCAAAGGCAACACAAATTCTTTCTTTCAAA